GGATAAACTGTCCATCATAGGATGAGGGCATGTTGGACAGAGGATTTGGATGCAGAAGACCTGGGTTCAAATCCTGCTTCAGATACTAAGTCAAGTCAGCAAAGATTTCTCAAGCACTTACAATCTTTCAGGCATGCCTGGCCTGGACTAAGTGCTGGGAAGACAAGTGGAGAGAGATGTGAGAGAGTTGTGGGGCTTCCCTTTTAATGGGGGCAGGTAACTCATAAAAGGCAGCTGAAGGGGAAGAAGTGGGGTACCAAGGGAACTGGTAGGCAGGGCATGGCAGAGGAGCCTGGACAGCAAGGAGACTTGAGGTGGCCCAAGTGCCTGTCCTGAGTGGAAGATGTAGAAGGTGCCAACTACTCAAGAAGAGGGAGAGGCCATAAGGCAGAAGGAACTTAAAATGTGTGAATTCCAGGGCTAGAGTGAGGGTGCTTCCGGAGGAAGAGGTTTCTTGGGCATGAAGATCCAGCATAGTCCTAAACCTACGATCCTACTATACCTTACAAAGAGATGTGCTCCTATGGTCGAAGGATACGAACAGGCAGTTTTCAGATGAAGAAATTAAAGCTATCTATAATCATAAGAAAAAATGCTCTAAATCATTATTGATTAGAAAAATGCAAATCAAAAAACTCTGAGGTACCACATCACACCTATCAGATTGGCTAACATGACAAAACAGGAAAATGATAAATGTTGGAGAAGATGCGGGAAAATTGGAACACTAATGCATTGTTGGTGGAGTTGTGAAATGATCCATTTTTGGAGAGCAATTTGGAACTATGCCCAAAGGGCTATAAAAACTGTGCATGCCCTTTGACCCAGCAATAGCGCTTTCAGGGCTGTATCCTGAAGAGATCATACAAATGTGAAAAGGACCCACATGTACAAAAATATTTATAGCAACTCTTTCTGTGGTGGCAAAGAATTGGAAATTGAGGAGATGCCCATCAATTGGGGAATGGCTGAACAAGTTGTGGTATATTAATGTAATGAAATACTATTATGCTACAAGAAATGATAAGCAGGCAGACTTCAGAAAAACCTGGAAAGGCTTGCTGATGCTGAATGAAGTGAGCAGAATCAGAAGAACACTGTATATAGTAACTGCCACATTATTCAATGATTGACTTTGATAGACTGAGCTCTTCTCAGCAATGCCAGGATCTAAGACAACTCCAAAAGACTCATGATGAAAAATGCTGTCCATATCCAGAGAACCATGGAGTCTGAATGCAAATGCAAGCATACTGTTCCCTTTCTCTTTTTTTTTTCTTCTTTCTCATGGTTCTTCCCATTTGTTCTGATTCTTCTTTACAACATGCCTAATGGGAAAATGTTTAATACGGATGCATAACTATAGCCTATATCAGACTGCATGCATCTTGGGGAGGGGGAAAGGGAGAGAGGCAGAGAACACTTAAAACTCTAAATCTTATGGAAGTAAATGTTGAAAACTAGAGAGAGAGAGAAAGAGAGAGAGAGAGGGAGAGAGGGAGAGAGAGAGGGAGAGAGGGAGAGAG